GGAGCAAGAAAACGGATTGAAGCAGAGCCAGCACACCTCAGTGAATATCATTATTTAGGACAAGCACGAAGAGGAAGAGCTTTGTCCTTCGGCCTTGAATCAGCATAAAGCCCCTCGCCGAGCCACTTCTTTGACATTACGTCATGATGAATAGGGTTCGACTCATTCATGTCTCCACACCCAGGTTGTGCCGCAGCCCCCTAGATTGAAATATGACAACAAACATTTGCTATGGGCGGGGGGTCCGCTTCGGTAAAAGCTGCCCAGCCTGCCACGCTTTGGAAGAGCTTCGGAACAGTTTTTCCCTAGTTAGGTAACCCGGTTTTGACACCATGGCCCCTATGAATTATCAAGCTGCAGCTTCGCTACCAGGTTGTTTACAAAATGAAAGAAGAAAATACGAAAGAAAAGCGTCCATTGTCTAATGGATAGGACAGAGGTCTTCTAAACCTTTGGTATAGGTTCAAATCCTATTGGACGCAATCTTATTTCTATCTATTCTTTAAATAACTATACTAAAAACTAAGAAAACTTTTTTGCATGATTCAAATGAAAAATCTTTCTCAACGATTTCTCCTCTACTAACAAGAGTAGACATGCAAAATTGTTGTTTGTTCCTGAAGGGAAAACCGTTCGAGCTGTTCCTGAATAGCTTCCTTCAAAAGGATTTCCGCTTCCTCGGTGAATGTCTTGCTAGAAGATAGAATTTCTTGGAATTGAGGTTTGGTATCTTTTAGGTGTTTACGTAACTCATCCAGAAATTTCTTTACCTGTCCAATTTCTAAGGAATCAAGATATYCTCTCGTTCCGGTATAAATAGTAGCTATCTGCTCTTCCACTGGGAGAGGGTTTGATTGGGATTGTTTAAGCAATTCTCGTAATCGTCGACCCCTTGCCAATTGATTCTGACTTGTTTTATCGAGAGCAGAGGCGAATTGTGCAAAGGCTTGTAACTCTGCGAATTGAGCTAATTCCAATTTAGATTTGCCAGCTACTTGTTTCATGGCTTTAATTTGAGCCGCGGATCCTACTCTGGAAACAGAAATACCCACATTAATAGCAGGTCGAATTCCGGCATTGAATAGATCTGCGGATAAGAATATTTGCCCATCTGTAATGGAGATTACATTAGTAGGAATATAGGCGGAAACGTCTCCAGATTGAGTCTCAACTATTGGTAAAGCGGTCATACTTTCTTCCCCTAAAAGAGAATTAAATTTAGCGGCTCTTTCTAAAAGGCGTGAATGCAAATAAAAAACATCCCCTGGGTAAGCTTCGCAGCCGGGGGGTCTTCTTAATAGAAGGGACATTTGGCGATAAGCTTGTGCCTGTTTGGAGAGATCATCATAAATTATTAAAGTATGCCGGTACATAAAATACTCAGCCAGGGCCGTATAAGGAGCGAGGTATTGTAATGTAGCAGGGGAATCCGCCATTTCAGCTACTACAATAGTGTATTCCATGGCCCCCTCTTTTTCTTCTTGTTCCCAATTCACTACTAAGCAAGTTCGAACGAATTGCATATATATTATCTCTCATATCAGATGTGAGTCACCGCCTAAACTACACTGACTTATCGAGGTTCAAACTGTCTCGCGGGTAAAGCAATAAACTCTCTCTTCGAGCTCAGTCACAATTCATTCAATCTGTGGCAGTAGTCGTAGATAGCGTAGCCCGGGATGTTAGCCATCTACCTATAGTGTGAGAGTACTTTTCTTCGAAACTCTATAAGTGTAAGAAAAGAGTGCATGTACTTTTAGTGGACTTGACTTTTTCTATAGTGTGAGAGTACTTTCTGTTCAATCCAGTCGCTCCAGATCTGCCCGAGACATGCGCCTAAGGAGAAATTGTGGTACGTAGGTTATGTGTCTGTCTTATGTCGTCCTAGTGATTTATCATCGGAATAGCTCAGTTCGAGAGAGGGGGTGGAATTTTAAATTCGAATTGGAAGGTTTGACAGCCAAGGAGCGGCAAATAAGTAAATATCTTCGACATAGCTGAAGAGAAAAGGAATAATAATATCTTTCTTATTTCTTTCCCATGACGACTAGGAACGGGCAAATCAAGAATTTCACTTCGAATTCCGGACCTCAACATCCTGCTGCTCATGGTGTTTCACGATCAGTATTGAAAATGAAAGCTGAAGAAGTTATCGAAACTCGGAACCACATGTTCAATCTTTTTTTAGCGGTTTCCCCAGAGATCTTTATCATTAACGCAACCTTCATTTTGCTCATTCATGGAGTTGTATTTAGTACCTCTAAGAAAGATGATTATCCACCGTTAGTTAGTAATGTGGGTTGGCTTGGATTACTTAGTGTTGCGCGCCTAGGAGGGCAGCGCGCTTGGGGTGCGGAGGAGCTATTATCGCCCAGCTCCCTAACCTAATGCGGCCGGACCGCAGGGAACCTTAGCATGGGGGGACGTCCTAATCCTTTTGCCGCCGCAAGGCTGGCTAATCGTACGCAGCAGGAGCAAGGGAACTCCCCTGGTTCAGGAAGGCACATGAGTCCGAACGCTATTATGAATGTGCGACCGACACTACACTACGTAGGTACCTGTGCATGCAGGTGAGGCGTCGGTCGGTCCTAAAAACGGCGGCAGCTAGCGAGGAGTTAACGACCGGACGTGCTGCAACCTAGGGATCACCAGGCAGCTCTTTCGCTCTATAGGGATATCGGGGGGGCATAGCACAATTCTTCTTGGAGGAGGGYTGGTTTGCCCAGGTGACTGATCCTGCCATAATATACTCCCGCCAATTCTATTGCACCGGCAACCGAAGTCGAACATACATACGACGATCTTCATGCGTGAAGGGACGGGAGGAAAGAAAGGGCGGTAGATGATAATGCGAAAGGGCGCCGCGTCTGGGCGGGCGGGCTGAATGGATAAGCGAAAGATGCCATGGAGTGGGGAATATCCCGAGTCTAAAGTTAGACAACTAAATGCACTTCAAGGTGCAGCCGAGGAACTGGGGGACCTTCTCGAGTACAGGATAGGCAATTGAGAGATAGAGTTAGCCTATTCGTTAGGGGGAATCAATGCTCCGGACCGAATAGTTACCTCCTTTTCTTTCTCTGGCGCATATTAGCTTAGCAGCGCTCAAAAGGCCCTGGTTGGTTCCTCTCTTAGGCCACACTTTCCTTACCTTACTCCCGCAACACTCCCACTCCAAGCTACGCCTGCTGAGCAAGATGCATTGCGATTTCCTCTTCTGTGGACGCACCTTCGCCTCACTATGACCCGGGACGGGAAGAGAAAGACTTTTATTTTTCCGGTGATAGTAAAGCCAAAGACCCCAAGACAAGGTACAACTGTTGGGAAGGGGACATGATCAATAGAACCTGGCTGGATCCGGGCTGGGATAGTGGCGCCCATTCCTAACCAGTTCTGAAAAGGTTCGCTCATGCTGGAGGTACTAACCACTTAGTGATCGGTCCGCTAGTTCACGCAAATCCGAAGAAGTTATCACGGACGAGCCACATGCAGGGAAACTTGCACGTGTGGTTCTGGCCGGGCTTTCCTTCGGTATCTAATAACCTTGCTTCTGCTCGCCGCTGGCGCACCTCTCCTAACTATTGCCCATTTATTCTGGAATAATTTTTTTAGGAGGGACAATTTTACATATTTCTGCCAAATCCTTCTATTATTAAGTACGGCTGGTACCATTTCGATGTGTTTCGATTCTTTCGAAAAAGAGAGGTTTGATGCTTCTGAATTCATTGTATTAATTCCACTTCCTACTCGCAGTATGCTCTTAATGATCCCGGCTCATGATTTAATTGCCATGTATTTAGCTATTGAGCTTCAAAGTTTATGTTTTTATGTGATCGCAGCATCAAAAAGAAAGTCTGAATTTTCCACGGAAGCCGGCTCAAAATATTTGATCTTAGGTGCATTTCCCTCTGGAATATTATTGTTCGGGTGCGACCGGACTACTACCGATCAATTTTTTTAAACTTCTTTATAGACTTGTAGAGACCCTCTATGTAGTTGTAATTCTAGGGCAATCGATCTACTTTCCCCATAGCCCTAAGGCTGTGTCTCGATCTCCTACGCGCGAAAGATAAGATACGGGGGACGGGGTCCTATGGTATGGGTCTTCGACCCTTGGTCTAATTCCACGACGGAGAGTCGGCGTGGCGTAAAGTGAAGATTGGGGGGAATAGAGCTCAATCCCCGTCTGGGGTATTCCGAAGGTGTAACCTAGGCAACGAAAAAGGGGCCCGATACTTCAACTAAAGGAGCGACCTGTTGGTTCACCAAACCCCGACCCAGTGTCACACGTTCTCCAGGTCCGAAGGGATCCAGTGCCCAACTACCGACTCCTCCCGGAATTGCGTTATCGGAGCCGAGCCAGGAATAGCCGTTAGTGGACACCTACCACTTTTCACCGGTTAGAGAGGCCCTCTTTAATACATTAAGAAAATATGTTCACAGGGGCCAGAAAGACTCGGTCATAGGAACTTAGACCACCTACGCGCTGGTAAACGAAAACCACCTCGACCGGATCTACCGAACGAAGAAGGCCGCCCCGTCGAAAGAATTAACACGCCAAAAGGGCCACCAGCTTTCCCCCAAAAAAGGGGAGATCCGCAGCTTACTGCTCACGGAAACATCCGACCTTATGGTCAAGTCGTCCGCCTATCTTTCTGATCTCATTCGTTTGTAGATCGCATAAAAAGTTCTTCGTTTTTCCTGGCCAAGGCCAGTTGGGATCAGTCTCTCTAATCCAAGGAGAGCAGAAGTACACATAATTGTGTCCAAAAGTGATCATGTTATTGTCTCTCCAAGAGTATATCTAAACTCGTCGGAAAATACATTCTAGGAGTAGGAGGCTCGTCCCCAAACGATCTCTTACTACTTTTTTGTGCTTATTCTTTCTCGTTGGAGTTGCCGCAACAACTTTTTCAGGGTCCTCATCTGCCTCTCCACTATGGAGATGGGTGCTGTCTGCTGTAGAAGTCGAAATAATCTTCTTCTTTTTCACTTTAGCCAATATGAGTTTACCCGGCACTAGCAGCTTTATTGGGGAATTTCTAATCTTAGTAGGAGCTTTCCAAAGAAATGGAAAAGTAAGGAATTTTCCTTACCATTACTTCCGTGAATGTGAGGACTTTGTCACTTTCCTTCATTTTTTTCTTTATACAAGTGGTGTTGCACTTTCTGCTGGCGAACTCTTATTTTTGGATCAAAATCTTCCGCCCGTGGACGAAGCTCCACCGAGTAGAGAGATTTTGGATCTAGATTTGAACGCCCCGCTCCCTGACCCGGAGCCGGAGGTAGAGATTGTCCCCGGGGACGACCAACATGTCCCACCCATACAGGAGGACAATCCCATCACGTTCCACTTACAAAATGATGAACAGAGGGAGTCATTGGAGCAAATGCTGCATTCCGTCAAAGAAAGATGTATAATGAAATTAAGAAATGAGCTGATCGTAAATAAGAGAAGTAGAAAATGGGGATCAACAAAATTCTGAAATAGGCCTTACCCACCGCCCTATTTCCTTTCCAACTCTTCACAGAGCAGTAGATTCGGGTGCATCATCACATGTTACTGGTATGTTGGATGACGATCGGAATTCAAAGAAGAAAGAAGAAGGGCCCGACAAGATATAATATAATACGCATCCAGCTTTTGCTGAATATAGTGAGTGTTAAGCAAAGTACAGTACGCCTTTAGTTCTGATTTCTCCCAGTTTAGTTCCTTTTTAGTTTAGTTAAGCCATTTAGTTACGTGAAGTCGGCCCTCGAGTCTTAGTAGAGTAGCCTAAAGCAGTGGAAACTTGCCATGCATTCTACTCAATAGGGAAGTGAAGTTATAGAAGTCTTTCTTCCTCTTCTGGTGAAGCTAGCTACTGTCGTTTCTATTGGTTTCTCAAGAGGCTCAAGGTCTTGCTCTACCTAATCCGATCTAGTTCCGGTCTGTAATGATGGATAGGAAGGGTTGAGAGAACTACGTATCTCGCCTAGCATTTGTGTGTGCGCACCTGCTTTTGGGCGGTTAGCGAAACGAAAGTAAAGACAGCTATGTGTGATGAAGTAAGCCCTACGATGCTCGGTTAAGCAAAGACTGCTGTTATCTCATACAAAACAAGGACTCGGGAGAAGAACTAGTTATCCCCAGAGGGGGAACTATGATTCTCTCAGATGTGTCTATCGATATAGATCAAGTTGAGTGTTCAGCGAAGTATGCTAGCCATTGGCCTTACGTTCAGGATACTCCTTCCTGTCCTTGCGATGTTTGGTTAAGTGTTATCAATCAGCTTTCCTCTTCTTCCAGCATTCTTCTAAGGTTTGCCTCTAACGATGGTTGAATAGCTCCTGTTGTTTTTATTCCATTGAATCGATTTCATGCACTTCCCTCAAGCCGAAACCGGAACGGGAAACTTGTCTTGTATAGTAGGCAGCGGATCTCTTCTGTTCAGTTCTTTCCCTGCTACGCTACTTTGTGATGTATCCTGCCTGCCATCACTTCCTATCGTCAAGTAAGCTGATTGAGTGATTCCAGGTGGTAGTCATCCTTGTAATACCTCATGAAGAAGCAAGGCTGCGCTCTGCGCATATTGTTCTTCAGATCGATTGTGTCACAAGAAATAGCTCAGTTAGAGCCCTAATTGTTTTCTCTTTCTATACGAGAAACGAGAATTATCATTTCAATTGGGCGGTCCATTTTCCGATCCTTCAGATAGTGATAGTGCTATGTTCAGTTATGGGCGACCTAAACCTAATGCTTATCTATAGCACTATTCCTCAATCCACCCGAAGTTAGAGCTAGGCTCATCGGGCTCGCTTCTCAATACAATGCCTTTACCACTGATTGTTAATAGAGGCTTCTCAGAAGAAGAACAACAAAAAGTTGTTTCGAAAAATTCAAGTACCGGCCACACTTCAGTATCCATAGATATAGATAGGGCGGAGGCCTTACTACACGAGCTCGTAAGTCAAGCACGGAACGAGCCTTGTCTACGAAGCTTCGCTTCATCATCTTGCTTGCTTCTGGCGAAGCTTAACGCACTATAACATAGGCATGCATGATGGTATGGTAGGGTCCAAAGATACTTTTAAGGCCGACCACTACATAGGAGCGATAGGAAGCCAAGCCGTCAAAAGGAAAGGCGAGCAGCCCTGGCTTTGATGACATCCCGACCTGTAGAAAAAGGATCAAGCAGAAGGAAGATCTGCTAAAGATTTTGATGCCCTTGCAAAACAGAGTCCTAAAAAAGGAAGTGGGTTGGGCTCTTATCTTAAGTGGGATGTTCGGCCATTGGTTTCAGCACTGACCGTAAGTCTGAATCTGATGAAACTTAAGTGCCTTTTACTTTGGTTCGAAAGATGACCGTCCCATTAGCCAGCCTCATCCACAGCTTCGCTAGATTTCTTTGATCTCGTGCATTTGCAACGCGGTGCTCGTAATTTCCCCAAGAGGTTGCTATGGCTTGGAGGTCTAACGGACTTTCGTCCTTCGACGCCTATAGGCGGCTTCGCTATCGCTCATGACTTGGTATAGAAATCTCTCCGTGTAGTGTAGTGGTCGGCCTTCCCATCTCCAAGTCATGGGAGTGAAATTCATTCCATTCCGTATAAGTAAGTTGATATGATAGGCTTTTCGGCACATCCTATGAAAGGCTCTCACCTAGCAGGCCTCTTTGACCCAGTGCTGGTACATTCTACAGTGGGAACCACCAGCCCCAATTGCTTATCCATTCAGTATTGGGTGCCATACTAGGAGTTATTATCATATAGTGAAGCGAGAAAACGACATATGCGACCGGTTTTGCTTTTAAGAAGAGCCCAGTGTTGAAGTAAACCACGAATCAAAGCCTAGGCTAGCCTATCAGTAAAGAGCTTCCTTCTAGGAAAGGTTTCATGAGATGTTGATGTGCTACCTTCTAGCCTACACCAATGTCTTAAGTTTCCTCATAATAATGACATCGTTGTTGTTTTGGCCGAACCGGAAACGGTGGTACCACCATAAGTAGGTTCTTTCGGTATTGACCAACAAGTCCCTCTCATTGAGATTAATACCAGCTTGGTGAAACCGGAATTTCCTAATCAAGAAAATCTGCTTGAAAATTTGCACAAGGAACAAGGTTTAGGAAAAACAAACCAAGGCCGGTTAGAGCTAGTGGTCTTAACCAAAAACAAAGGGACTGGGTTATTAATCTTCCAAAATAAATACTAGCTAGGGTTTCCAATTTTGCTCCCAATGTATCCATAAATGAGACATTTGTTCAAGGCCTTCCGGGAATGTAATTACGAATAAATGGTCTATTTCAAAATGATCTTGAGGGGATCAATGTGATAGATAGGGTACTCGCAAACACTCCACCTAGCCAAAGTAATGCCTCGTCTACCTCTAGAACAAACCTACCATCAACAGGCGACAATCCGATAGGCAACAGAGAGAAAGTGGAAGAATTGCTTATTTTCTAACTAGGGGCCTTCTACATGCTATTATTATACCTCGCATCCCATGAGCGACTTGGACCGAACCGGGGATTTTATGTTCCTACACGGCCCGAGAATCCAATGTTTCGAGAGTTGCAATCCGACATTACAAGAATTGGGACCAACGAACTAAGGAGAATAAACAATGAAATCACACCGGCAAATCGGTATGATGGAAAAAGTTTCCCTATAAAACACATCGAGACCTACTGTAAGCAATGTGCGCCTATGAGGTATGATGATTTCACTTTCATTCTTTTTTTCCAAGCTACCCTTACAGGCACTGCACTCAAATCAACAATTAAGGGATTCAAAGGGAAAGAGTTTTGACCAATCAGCTCTATTTTTTTTATCACCTTCCCTTTCAATAGAACTGTAAGTAAAGTACTCTTGAAAGCGGGCAAATGCAAGTAGCTCAACCTTAGAGATGCGAGTTATTGATCTCCTACATCGCCTAACTCCCGAATATCACTATCTCAACCCGCCGACCACTCATCTAGACTATTGTTGAGTTTATGAAAAAAAATATAGTAAAAACATGAAATTGAAAGGAAACACGGCGGACCTGAGACTGAAAGCCCAGCAGCTCAGCATGCAAGGCAACAATTTGGAGATACAATGGACCGACCTGCAAGCAAGAAGATGGATATCTGGATCAGCAACAGAGAAAAAAACCGAGAGGTGGTTGCAACAATCACAAACCATAAAAAAAAATGCATATCCCGTGTGTGCTCTAGTTTCGGGTTCTCCTAGACCACCATTATGAACCAAAAACAACCATACCTAGTGAAGTGATGCAGTCGACCTGGAGAGGAAGATTTATCTTGTTCAGTAGATAGATGTATAACGCAACTGATTATGCTTTAACTACAGGTGCATACGGCCTTTCTTTTCTTCTTCAGGTTCAGTAATATCGTAGATAGACATCTTGCTTTACATCTGGGTTTTGGTACCTGATCGGCATCAGCGCTGACCTATGTTACTTTTTATTAGCTGAACACTTGGTTTTTTCTTCTTAAAGAAATCACTCGCCTCATTCTATTTATATAGATTTTATCCGTCTCCTGCTTCTTATCCTTCTCCAAGGAGAGCTACAAGGCGCGAAAGGAGTGCTGTAAAGGGGAAGGGGGTTGGGCGGCTTATGATGCTTGAGCTTTCTTTCCTCCCTTATGGCGGCGCATTGGGGCACTAGAAATCAAAGAAATCTGCTATGTTATGTGTTATGAGTTTGGGACCCAGCTGCTGATGTTAGAGCTCTTTTCGAAAGAGCAGCTTATCCACGAAAAAAAATAAGGTTGGCTATCTCAAAATTATAAGAACGAAGGCTTCGGAAAGACTAGCTTTGGTTGAACCAGTAGCTTACAAAGAGAAAGACTCTGATTCGATGTTCTTCTTAAGAAAAAGAAAGAATGACACGGACTTATCACTAAAAAAAGAAACTATCTATACTATAGGTTCCTAGACTCATCAAATAAATAGAAAATCTTCACTGAACAATAGCAAAAGTTCCCACCTAAGTTCGGTATCCCGGCCCCTCCCGGTAGTACTAGGAGCTGCTGCAAGTAATAGGTCTTCTTAGGATTGGAGATTCAACCTCGTCCTTAAGGAAGAGCCATTGGCCCCTATTTACTCACAGCAAGTGACCGCCTTCTTGTCGCCTGCCTTTATCTCTCTTCCCTGTAGAAAACCAATCACAAGTCCCTCCTTCTTGTAAAAGGAAGGTTCTATACTTCTGGTTATGCCTGTTATCTTAACGGTCAGTTATAGAAATCTTGCTTATGGCTCTCTAGTAAAGAGGTGGAACCAGATTATCTACCTTTGCCTTCCCCTGTGATTCTTAAACTAACTCTAAGCTAACTCGCAACTCGAAGATCCCATGGACCATGGCAGGAATGGGCAACCCTATTCTTAGTCATAATGTCAATAGGGCGTGAAATGACGGACGACAATAGTCTTTCTCTTTTTTCACTCGAGCCATACCGATGCTTTGGACTCCTTGATGCCAGTCTGTTCCCTAAGTAGGATAAGT